CTTCTGAGGCTAGTAACTGAACAGATGGGGGCTCAGAGGTTGTGGCAGAGCAGCTCTGCACCCGGGCCTCAGTTCTGCACCGTCATTTGAGCCGAGCAGAACAGTTTAGAGCCAGGGCCAAATTCTTAGCCAAAAGGGATGTACCCGCCAACGTTGGGTGGATATCATCCGAGTGTAGATAGAGAAAAGTTCAGGATGACAAGGAACACTAAAATTCCCACAAAATCCGACCTTTATGAAAGCTGTAGGTTCTTTGTCAGCTGTTTTAGTTTACTTTGAGTTCTATGGGGAAAATGTCTGTGTAGCCCACGTGAATTTAGTCTGCAGTACGTGAGAATCCTTCAGCTCCAAGCTAGTAACACCCAAACCAGTTATTATAATAGATCCATGTATCATACAGTGGTGTGAATGACAGGATTTTGAATATAGGAAAAAAATATCATAAACAGCTGCGGTAGTGTGTCTTGTCAAGGCAGTAGGTTTTGGTTTGCTTGTGTGTAGGTAATAACCAGCTACAACAGCACCATCTGCTGGTGTACTGCTAGAACAACCACATTACACTTACGAATCTTTTTGACACACGCTTGGCGGCAGAGGTGTGTCAAAAAGAGATTCGTGTGTAAAACAGAGCCTGTGCGTAGCACTTAGGCTTTTTTCGTTCTTCTCTTCGTACAACGTGGTTATTTACACACAGATTGTTCTGCTACAGATACAAATGTCAAATTACACACACACAAATCTGTTTACGCAGGCACACAGTCCAAGTTACACTTGCGAATCTGCGAAGGCAGGACTGCGTCAAAAGATTCGTGTGTATAAAAAAAACTTGAGTGTAAAACGTACTTTTTTTTCTTTACACACACACAAATCTTTTTACGCACACACAAATCTTGATACGTACATACAAATCTATTTTCACACGCACAAATATTTATTTTACACACACACAAATCTGGTTACGCACGCACAAATCTTTTTAGTACACACAAATCTGGTTACGCACACACAAATCTGGTTACGCACGCACAAATCTTTTTACGCACACACAAATCTGTTTAAGCACACACAAATATTATTGAAACAATAATAGCTCCATACATATCACCCCAGCTTTAAAGAGCGACTAAACACCTGTGCCCAGCCTTACTCTGCCCACATGAAGATTTGAAAATGTTCTCTAAAAAGGGCGTTGCCTGGAGGACCAAGGGACAAGAAGGGGGGCTTAGAGTTGGGCGTGGTCTGGGCCTCGATTGACAGCTCACTTGTCACACAAAAAAAAAACAGACAGTTGTCATTGATGCTTAAAGCAATAGTTTACAGACCAGAAAGTCTCATTCCACCCTTGTTTACACACTAAGATAATTGTAAAGCTACACATCTGAACCTAATCACACTCAAGCACTGAGACTGCTCTCGTCAAGGTTACAAACGATATCCGGCTGAACACTGACGCAGGCAAAGTCTCAATCTTAATCTTGTTAGATCTAAGTGCTGCCTTTGACACCGTCGACCATGAGATCCTCTTACAGAGACTAGAGGACTGGGTTGGAGTCGCTGGCACCGCCCTAAGTTGGTTTAGGTCTTACCTTGAGGACAGGAAGTACTTTGTGGAGATTGGAAACTGTGTCTCAGATCATATGGCCCTGACCTGTGGAGTACCACAGGGGTCGATCCTGGGACCTCTTCTGTTCAATCTCTACATGCTGCCGTTAGGTCAGTTAATACGCAGAAACGAAGTTTCCTATCATAACTATGCAGACGACACTCAGATCTATGTCTCACTGACTGCAGGAGAACATGGACCAGTGGACTCACTCCTTCACTGTATCCAACAGATCAGTGAGTGGATGCAAAACAACTTCCTTCAGCTAAACACAGACAAAACTGAAATGATTGTCTTTGGTCCCCAGAAACAAAGAGAGAGCGTCATCTGTCACCTACAGTCTCTCTCCCTAAAACCTTCAAACAAGGTCAGAAATCTAGGGGTAATACTGGACTCAGACTTAAATTTTAATAGCCACATCAAATCAGTAACATCAGCAGCTTTTTACCATCTAAAAAACATTGCCAGGATCAAAAACATAGTGTCTAAAGCAGACTTGGAGATTCTTATCCATGCATTTGTCTCCAGTAGGTTAGACTACTGCAATGCCTGCTCACAGGTCTGTCCAAACAGGCTGTAAAACAGCTGCAGTACATTCAAAATGCAGCAGCTCGAGTCCTGACAAGAACCAGGAAGTACGACCACATTAGTCCAGTCCTCAGGTCTCTGCACTGGCTTCCTGTGGCTCAGAGAATAGACTTTAAAACAGCTCTGCTTGTGTACAAGTCTCTCCATGGCCTCGCACCAAAATATATTAGTGACATGTTAGTCCCATATGAACCAGCCCGGACTCTGAGGAGCACAGGGACTGGACTCCTGTTAGTGCCCAGAGTCAGAACTAAACATGGGGAGGCTGCTTTTCAGATTCATGCTGCTAAAATCTGGAACAGTCTTCCTGGAGATGTGAGACAGGCCTCCTCTCTGACAATGTTTAAAGCCAGGTTAAAGACAGTTCTGTTTAGCTGTGCATACAACTGAGGGATTTTATATTTGTATCTTTCTTTTTAATGTTCTGTGATTATTTATGATTTTAATGCTTTCTTGTTTTGTTCAGCACTTTGAATTGCCTTGTGTATGAATTGTGCTATATAAATAAACTTGCCTTGCCTTGCCTTGCCTCAATAATCTCAGAATGACTCATGTAATTTAATTTTAATCCACTAGATGGCGCCAGAATACTCCAAACTGCAGCTGGGGCGTGTGTGAGAGTTGAATGGGTTTATATCACTGGCTCTGACAGACTGACGTCACACAAAACAACTGATGTCATAGAGAACTTCAGAGTCAATGGAGAGGCCAGAACCAAATTCAAATGTAGTACCACCAAAAAGATTGAGAGGGCACCACACAGCGTTTTTTGGCTCAAAAGTGATATTTTATCTAATTTGAACTAAAATGTCAAAAAAATGACAAGGATATGTAGACAGCACTACAATAAACATACTTATGCAGTTTATGAGTTAAAAAAAGTTGATTTGGTGTTTAGTCGCTCTTTAAGTATATTGATTTGGATCCCATAATAGACTCTTGAGAAACTTATCTTTGGCTTTCGGTGGGAAATAAGTTCTTGTAATGTCTGTGGCAAACTGTTAACAACTCAAAGAACTGAAAAAAGCCAAATTGTTTGTAGTCCACCTTAAAGTGACGGGGACATTTCCAGAGTGAGTTTATGTATCTGTGAGGCATATAGTGACTCGTTTATCAACTCCAAATTACTTCAAAAGGCTATTCATGTTATTTTCATCATCATTTATGTTCAGCTGGTAATAATATTGTCAAATCAAGTCCTTTGCTCTTCTCCAGCTGTAACAAAGTTCTATCACTTCATGTGCTTTAGCAGAGAACCAAGCTATTGTCAAGTGTACATTAGCTTGGTTCTTAGCTAAGACTAAATCTCAGAAACTATTTTATCTTCAATAATATAGGTTTTGTATTTAGTATTTAGTAAGGACAGACATGCAGCATGTTACCAGACCACAATGTATAATTTTCATGTAATGAAATCATATGTTTCAAGCGAATACCATTTGAAACACAACTTGACTGATGTTATGCTAACGTTAGCTCCTTGTAACAAACTTATTTACAGATAAAATCAGTTTTACCTGAACTATAATCACTCCCACATGTCTTAATAACACTTACCTGTTCACGTGTCAAAGATAAGAGTATTTAAAAAGTTTTGTAGACGTAAATCCGCCTGCTCTAACGGGAGTGCACCCTGAGTCGGACAATTTGAAATGCTATTATCCTGAGTCGGACACGCGCACCTTTTTTGTCATGTTTTCATTTTATCAGACGTTTGCAACAACGGCCACGGGAAAGCTGTGGGTAAGCATACTCTACACATGTTAATGTTAATTTGTGCAACAAATTGTTCATGAATGTGCTAATTTCATTGAGTAATCATGTTTTGAAGTTGCTTTTTACGGAAATGCTTGCATGAAGTGCTTAGGCGACGCTCTGACAACGCTCTGACGACAGGAGAGCTCTCATTTTCACTCTCTGTTTTACGGATTAAAAGGCCAAATTCGTCTGTTTTTAACGGTCACATTGGTAGATCAACTATCGTCAATGCACGTTACTAGTCTTATAAATACACAAGTGTAAAATTAGCTATATTAATTAAGTATTTACATTTTTAATCCTGCTGTCCAGTTGCTTGCTCTGAAAATCTAACCCAAGGAGTCTGTTCACAGATTCGGGGTTTCAAAAACACGCTAAAACATCAGTTTATGGATACTAGCAAGTAGCAAGTAGTTAATGGTTAGGTTAGTGCACATCTTATAAATGAATCCATATTAAAAAATGTTTTTACCCAACATTCCTGCAAAATATAGCCCTCCTGAAGTCACAAAATGTAATTTAACGTCAGTTCCCCGATTATACTCCAACAACAGCGCCCCCTTGGGGCTCTACCACATAGCTATCATAGAACAAGTTTCTGTTTGAGTATTTATTATTATTTATAGTATTGCATTGCTTTATGTTTCTGTCTTTGTGTGTATTGAAGGCTAGATCGAGGAGAAAGACATAAGAGATTAGGAAAGGGAAAGATCGAGATAGGATATTATCAAGTTAGTAGGAAGGTAGGTGTGTGTCTGTGCTTTTGTTATCCACAGGACTTAAAGAATTGTGCAGAACATGACATGACATGGACAGAACATGACATGACATGGACACTAATAAGGTCACAGGTAACATGCACTACAATGTCTCTGCATGCCTAGAACACATTAGAACGTATACAATTGATGTACAATAGTTACAATCAATAAAATATAATAAGCAATTTTGTATTTTATAAATGTATAAATGTATTTCTTCTCCATAGATGCCGAGCATACGTGTAATCAGGAAACGACAAAGAAAGTTCCGTATTTGGAATCCGGTGGCCATGCAGGGGGCCATTGATGAAGTGCGGGCAGGCAGGCTCTCTTATAGGCAGGCAGCTGTCCATTTTGGGGTCCCCAAGTCCACCCTGCGAGACCGAGTCAGTGGGAAAGTGGCCTCTGACAGCACCTATGGTCAGAAGCCACTTCTCTCTCAGAACGATGAGAATGCGCTGGTGGAGTACTGCCTGTACTCCGCCAGCTTTGGATTCCCACTGACAAAGTCACAGGTGGTGACCCACGCTCTGGCAATTTTCAACCGGCGCCACCCACAAACACCAAAGGTGACGCTGAGCCAGACGTGGTGGGTCAACTTCAGGGAGAGACAAAAACAACGGCTCACCACCAGGACCCCAGATATTATTGACCGTGGGAGAGCATCCTGTGCGAAGAGGGGGCCTGTCGAGGACTATTTCAATCTACTGTCCTCGACAATGGACAGGTACGGGCTGAGAGGGAAACCCCACTGCATCTACAACTGCGACGAGACGGGGTTTCAGCTGGACAGCCAGAGGAGGAAAGTCGTCGTGCCCCGGGGTACCAAGCACACTATACAGACAGGCTCCAGGCACCAGGGAGCATATCACCGTCCTGGCCTGTTTAAATGCGGCTGGGGAGGATATCCCCCCATTCATTATCTACAAGGGGGGATATCCGGGGGGCCCTTATAATAAAGAAGGGGTCCCCAATGCTCTTTATGGGAAGTCACCGGCTGGATATATGGACACCGGACTGATTGGAGCAGGAGCAATTCTCCGGTGGTGAAGGCTGCGTCTCTGAATCCGTTTGAATTCCTCCATCACTTCCTCCACCTGTTTCCTGGCAGTGAACACCTTCTGCCCGTCTGCCACACGTTTAACTGTGAGAGGAACAAAAACACGTGGTTATGGAATTAATTCAAGAAAATAGACTTTGGTAACATTTGGTCACAGAAATATGTCATTAATGTTAGAGTTAAGAATCTAAAACATCAGTAGACAATTTGGAATCTGTAGGACTGTCTCTGAGTCTGTAGGACTGTCTCTGTGTGATGTGGTTGTTGTCGTTAGTTGTGAATCATCAAAACCGTTGTAACTTACCTTCTCTGGGAATGAAACTTCCCCTTCCTTGAGGGAGACGTGTTTTGTGAGGAGGTGGACTTGGGGTCGAGGGCGGCAGTCTCCTCAGCTCCTCTGGGGTCTTGCTGTCGGGTCTAAGGCTCTCAGATACAGTGCGGCGTGGAGGTAGTGGAGGTAATTGATATATTTGGGCCCAGGACAGTGACAGTAGTCCCCTCAGCTCCTCTGGGGTGCGGCTGCCTGCTGATGAACTGCTGCTGTGACGAGTCCATGACGCCCTCAGCTCCTCTGGGGTGCGGCTGCCTGCTGATGACCTGCTACCTGCTGATGAACTGCTGCTGTGACGAGTCCATGACGCCCTCAGCTCCTCTGGGGTGCGGCTGCCTGCTGATGACCTGCTACCTGCTGATGAACTGCTGCTGTGACGAGTCCATGACGCCCTCAGCTCCTCTGGGGTGCGGCTGCCTGCTGATGAACTGCTGCTGTGACGAGTCCATGACACCCTCAGCTCATCCGAACAGCAGCTGTCGTACCCATCACTGCGTTTGTGGAGGTAAAAAGTGTAAAGTTAGTTTTTTCTTCTACAGCTTCAATCAGGACGTTAAATCGTCCTGATTTAAATTAACGTTTCCTTCTTCTCTCTCTCTGTTTGCTCGCCTCCTCGCTTCTTCTCTCCTTTGAGCTGTTGTTGATAGCTTCCCGCTAGCGCGGCCTTCTTGGTTCCCTTGCCTCTCCTCTGGTCCTCTCACTTGTACCCTGTCTGCCACCTCTTGTCTGCTTTCATCTTCTTCTTGTTCATCAATCTTTTCAAGAGTCCTTCCCTGAGAGCCTGCCTGTGCCTTCTGGTCCTCCGATCCTCCTGCTCTCTCTGGTCTCCTGGCTTGTACTAAACTCCCCTGTTCACGGATGTTCACGGAAGAGTGTGATAATTCCCAGGGCATACTTCTCCTTATGTTTACGGGAAGGCATCCTCCTTTAGAAACAACATTCCAAATCAGTCACCCACTTGCTATGTTAATGCAATGCAATACATTTTGAAAATCCATTATAATTTTTCTTAATGTTTACAATCTAACAATTCACTTTACACTCACCCATGGATCTCAGTCATATGGCTAGCCAATATGTTGACAAGCTGTCTCCGGGTGCGGTGAGTGACCGACTTTTCTGCATTGTACTCTTCGATGACATTCTCACCCCCAGGTTTGCAAAGCAAGGCATTTTTTACCATCTATTCGTGTTAGAAAAAATAAAGTTTTCAGTGTACAAATCAGTCTTTCAGGAATACATTTTAAAAATATACCACAAGATTAAGAGTAAAAAGTTTGTGTAAGCCCTCAGTCGTACAGGGATTAGTCAAAGCAAAGGAAGGTTTCTCACCCATCATCTGTACTTCTTAGCAAGTTTTCCCGACGTTTCGTCCTCAACCTGGGGACTTCTTCAGGGAATGAATTCTCGGACCGCGCGTTGGAGATTTATAACCTATGGGTGTGGTAAGCCACACCCTAATCCTGATACTAACTCGTAAACAATCTCAGGTCTGCTTGATGTAGAAGGGAGCAGGTCTAACGACCCTGCTGAGGCTAACGACCCTAACTCCTTAGCATGTCACAGACCTATTGTCTGCTGGGATGCTCAAGTGGAGTGCAGGTCTCACCCCTCCTAACTCATTAGCATGTCACTGACCTTGTCCCAAGTTAGGGCGTTGTTTTTAGGATGTCGTCATAGATGCGAGGCAAAACAAATCTTAACCCTCCTCCTCTGTTAAGAGAAGGTTTTTGTTTCCTCACAAAAATGGCTTCTTTCACCCCTCTCTCAAACCAATTCTTCTCCCGAGCCAGAATTTTAACCTCTGTGTCATCCACCGTGTGGTTGGAGGCCTTGAGGTGGAGATGAACAGCCGACTGTGGCCCACTAGAGTTTTCTCTACGATGTTGGTAAAGGATCAAGAAGGTTTCTTACAAAAAATGGATCACCAATTTTAGCAAAAAAAAATCTAAACCAATTGTTTAGCTGATTATGCAAGCGCAATATGATTTTATGATGAAGCTAGGGCTGGGCGATTAATCGATTTTAATCATTAATTCGAGTTTTACGTTTAGGGCGATTTCTTTTTTTTTAAATTCGATTTTTATTTTCTCCAGCGCAGAACTACAGCGCTAACGCGCTAACCGCGGGTCTATGGTGTTGAGCAGTCATTTTGAAGCTAACCTAATGCTAACAGTCTCCCTCTGGCCTGATGCTCGCTCTCACAGTTGGTGCTGTTGCAATAACACTTCAAACGGTCAAGAATCAGACTTTATTTAATCGCCAGAACACACACACACACACGCACGCAGGCTCCGGTCGCTATGTTCGTACGCCATGTTCGTACGCCATGTTCGTACGCCACATCTTTCACGCTCTCTCACGCTCGTTATTCCAAAGCGCGCTCCCGTGTCCGTGGCGCGCACACACTCGTGTCTCACTGAGCCGCTGCACTTTGGGGAAAGACACGTCTCACACATTGCTCTCATTGCTCTGATACAAACAACGTGTTCCCCGCTGTCTGTTAGCTACAGTAGCTGCTACAGTAGCTGTTAGCTACAGTAGCTGCTACAGTAGCTGTTAGCTACAGCATCAGAATGTAAACAGGAAGCTCGCACAATGCGGGAGTCACTGAAGTTAGTATTAGCGCCACCAGCTGGACCGAGCGTTGTACTACAGCACAGTTACTCAGGCACAGTTGAAAGAACAAGCATGAAAACCCGAGGAGGCTTTTGGAAAAGACTGTCTGTTACAACATTTCTATTTTGAGTAATCAGTTTTAAAAATGTGATATTTCATGTAAATAATGCATGTGTTTAATAGGATTGATATATTTGCGATGGGCCTTGTTTGTGTGATTTAAGTTATTTTGAAGGTGCATAGTGTCATTGTAAGTGAAGTTATTATAAAACTGTTAAGCTACATTTTCACTGTTTACAATGGCAGAGCCATCTCGTTTATAAGCATGTTTTAAGGCTTAATTCCTGTTACACTTATGCTCCATGGGGATTTAGATTAAACTGCATAAAGGAAAATCTATTTCTTTGTCAGTTGTAGTTTGTTTTTAAATAGAAAAAAAATAAATCGATTAAAATCGAAAATCGGATTTGGTGTGAAAAAATCGGAGATTTTTTTTTTTTGCCATATTGCCCAGCCCATGAAGCCATCTTTCTTTTATCCAAGTACAGAGCTATTAGCGAAACTTAAATCTTTTTAAATGTCACAAATACTCTGATGAGAAACCGATTTAGCATGACACTTGATGATCAACAATGTGAATTACATCTGCTGCTCTTCAGTACCTCTTTTGCAGCCTCTGACTCAGAGACCTCTGTGTTAGGCCTGGGTATGACTTGGCTGGATGTACATCTGCCTATGGGAATCCCATGTTCTATTCGACTGGAATGGTCTTTGTCACTTGAAAGTGATGTGTCGGTATCCGTGAGGGAGGTTGATGTGGAATGATCTAAAGGAGAGAAGTCTGAAAGAAATAACATAACTGTGACATGCCTGAAATCTAGCATTTGGTGGTTTCCCAGACACTACAGTAGGTCCCATTCCGTTTTGTCGTCTTCATTCGCGCTTCTCGGGAATCACGCAGCTGCGTGAAAAATAGTACATCTTATCGCCACAAGGTGGCAGGCTAAGTCCGCTTTAGCTCTGCCAGCGACTTAGACGCTCAGGTATAAGACTGCGTGCAAACCTGTCTAACTCCAGAGGTGCTATGTTGGCCCAATGGTTAGCATTAAATACAAGGACCTGGAGAACCCAGGTTCGATTCTTGTCTGAGGCACATCTTTTGGTTGCTTGTGGCAAAATTGTTTTTTCATTAAACAATTATTATATAACATCTTGTCTTTAATGTCTGAAAAAATCTAGGTGAAATTCACTAGTGTTATACGTTAAATATTGTGATATGTTTTGATAAACCGAACGTTACGTTACATCCTCCGCTCTGGCCCCAAGAGCAGCTGCTGTGACCCCCGCTCTGACAGCTCAGTGAACGCACTGCCGTCTGGGCTCCGAGCGCGGACCATAGACACGCGGACTCACGTCTCTCTCTCTCTGCTCGCGTCTCTCTCTCTCTGCTCACCTCTCTCTCTCTCTGCTCACGTCTCTCTCTCTCTGCTCGCGTCTCTCTCTCTCTGCTCACCTCTCTCTCTCTCTGCTCGCTCTCTCTCTCTGCTCGCGTCTCTCTCTCTCTGCTCACCTCTCTCTCTCTCTGCTCGCGTCTCTCTCTCTCTGCTCACCTCTCTCTCTCTGCTCACCTCTCTCTCTCTCTGCTCACGCCTCTCTCTCTCTGCTCACGTCTCTCTCTTTCTGCTCACGTCTCTCTCTCTCTGCTCACGTCTCTCTCTGCTCACGTCTCTCTCTGCTCACGTCTCTCTCTGCTCACCTCTCTCTCTCTCTCTCTGCTCACGCCTCTCTCTCTCTGCTCGCGTCTCTCTCTTTCTGCTCACGTCTCTCTCTCTCTGCTCACGTCTCTCTCTGCTCACGTCTCTCTCTCTCTCTCTCTCTCTGCTCACGTCTCTCTCTGCTCGCGTCTCTCTCTCTGCTCGCATCTCTCTCTGCTCGCGTCTATCTCTCTCTGCTCACGTCTCTCTCTGCTCACCTCTCTCTCTCTCTCTCTGCTCACGTCTCTCTCTGCTCACGTCTCTCTCTGCTCTCTCTCTCTGCTCACGTCTCTCTCTCTCTCTGCTCACGTCTCTCTCTCTCTGCTCACGTCTCTCTCTGCTCGCGTCTCTCTCTCTCTGCTCACGTCTCTCTCTGCTCTCTCTCTCTCTCTGCTCACGTCTCTCTCTGCTCTCTCTCTGCTCGCGTCTCTCTCTCTCTGCTCACGTCTCTCTCTGCTCACCTCTCTCTCTCTCTCTCTGCTCACGTCTCTCTCTGCTCTCTCTCTCTGCTCACGTCTCTCTCTGCTCACCTCTCTCTCTCTCTCTCTGCTCACGTCTCTCTCTGCTCACGTCTCTCTCTGCTCTCTCTCTCTGCTCACGTCTCTCTCTCTCTCTGCTCACGTCTCTCTCTCTCTGCTCACGTCTCTCTCTGCTCGCGTCTCTCTCTCTCTGCTCACGTCTCTCTCTGCTCTCTCTCTCTGCTCGCGTCTCTCTCTCTCTGCTCGCATCTCTCTCTGCTCGCGTCTATCTCTCTCTGCTCACGTCTCTCTCTGCTCACCTCTCTCTCTCTGCTCACCTCTCTCTCTCTCTCTCTGCTCACGTCTCTCTCTGCTCACGTCTCTCTCTGCTCTCTCTCTCTCTGCTCTCTCTCTCTGCTCACGTCTCTCTCTCTCTCTGCTCACGTCTCTCTCTCTCTGCTCACGTCTCTCTCTCTCTGCTCGCGTCTCTCTCTCTCTGCTCACGTCTCTCTCTGCTCTCTCTCTCTCTCTCTGCTCACGTCTCTCTCTGCTCTCTCTCTGCTCGCGTCTCTCTCTCTCTGCTCACGTCTCTCTCTGCTCACCTCTCTCTCTCTCTCTCTGCTCACGTCTCTCTCTGCTCTCTCTCTCTGCTCACGTCTCTCTCTGCTCACCTCTCTCTCTCTCTCTGCTCACGTCTCTCTCTGCTCACGTCTCTCTCTGCTCTCTCTCTCTGCTC